GTTCAGTGGTAGACTGCCCTTGGGTTAAAAGAAAAGATATTGGGGACTGTGTGGACATTGGTAATAGGGCTGAGTGGCTGAGATAGGGTGGATGACAAGATTGTTGGAGGAGAGTGGGTCTAGGTATTAAGAGGCCAGAGTGACAGAGGTAGAATCAAAATGTTACAATGCTTATCTGTGAAGGGGATGAAAATGCTCAGGGAATACAAGTTTATGGACTGGAGTTACTTTTTACCATAGTCGTACATGTGGGGTCAAGTGGTAGAAGTCAGGCTGAAAGGTAGTGAGCATTTGAAAGGCCCTCCATATAAGACTGTCCCTTAGAAAGTGGGTAGTTAATATAAATGTTCAAACAATAATTTTTTTCTTAATCATTAGTGATTTAGAAAATCAGCAGCATGGACAACATATACAATATAGAATAAGACCAACCAAGCAGGCTAATAGTCCACACAGGCTAGACATTGATGTTAGAGACTATCCATCCAATATGTATTATCTCAGGTTCCTTAGGAAGAGACCCTGTATTTTTGAGGTAGTAGTATGCTTTGCTTTCCTTACAGACAGGGATAGTCACTGAAATGTAAGCTAAAGACACTGGATAGGACTTTCGAGAAGTCTGTATTAGGATAGTTAAACCAGTTGACGGCAACTGTGGGCAAAGCAAGGCTCCCTGAAGATATCCACGTCCCAATCCCAGGATCCCATGAATCATGTCACCTTCCATCTGGGAGGGAAATTCAAGTTGTAGATTGAATTAAGGTCACGAATCAGGTAACTTTAAAATTTGTCTGGATGATCCAGGTGGGGGGCATTATATATTATGAGAGTCCCTGAAAGCGAAGAGAGGAGGAAGAGAGACGCAGCATGAGAAACACTGAACCCACATTTTGCTGGCTTTGACAATGAAAGAAGGGGCCTTAAGCCAAGAAATACAGGTGGACATTAGAATCTGGTAAAAGCAAGCAGACAGAATATCCCTTAGACTCTCTGCAAGGAAAGGCAGCCATGCTGGCACCTTGCAGAGGCCCATGCCAAATTTTGAACCTATAGAAGTGTCATGTATTAGTGTTGCTTTATTTCAGCAAATTTGAGGTACTCTGTTATAGCAGCAATGGAAAAGCAATTCAGCAGGCACCCTATAACTTGCTCCTTATTCCCTTCTGACGGCTGAAATGACATGTGATGGTTAGAGCTCCAGCATCTAATGTGGGCTGTAAGGCAAATCTAAGGGCAGACAGCATGCCTGAAAAATGTAGGCCAAAAGGACAGAAGGCCTCAGGCCCCTGCTGGCTATGTCTGGAACTCTCAACCATTAAATTTCTTTTAAATGAGAAAAAAATAAACACAAAGGTGTTTGACTGTTAGTAGGTCTCTACTAAAGACTAAGTGTAATTTCTGACTAAAATAGTAGTATAGGCTGGATATTCTTCCAACTTTTGAACTCAACATACCACACATCTGGGGAAATATTTGAGTTGTTCCTTGTACCCAACACAACTTTCTTTCCCCAGATTGCCCAGTTTCTGTTCAAGGCACGATCGCTCTGAGAGCAACCATCCTGGAGTTCTCCTCAAACTCATTTTCATAGATAGCCCATTAGTTGTCAAAGCCCATCATTCTGGTCAATCATACAGCTTTCTCCTCCCCATCACTATGGCACTGTCCTAGATGAGGTGCTTTCCTGTCTCTTTCCTTTCCTAAATTGTACATTAGCGACTTATTTGTTATTTTTTAAAAATGTTTTCACCATTTTCTGAAAATGTTCCTCCTATGACAAAAGTTTTGTTTTTGTGTGTGTGTGTGACCATCCCCAATTTATTCTTCAAACTGCTATACATGAGTCCCCTCTGACCTGTGCTTTCTTTTCAGAAAGAAGCTAACCAGAGAAACCATAGTTAACCCTGTTACATAGAAATAAGCAGTTGTTCAGTTTTGCATTGCATGCCATTATGAGTAAGGTGATGAGCCCTCATGCTGCCCTGCTCCGTCCCACCTGGAGTGTGCAGAGTTTCCATGTCAGGTGTGTTCTTTACTCACTTGGTGACTGTCCAGATTTTCAAATCCACTGTCATGGCCCCGTGGTGCTGGTGTTCAGGTAATCTTTGTTTTAATTAATAAAGCCTATTTTTTTGTTCTATAAATAATTATTATACTTTGTTATTAGTTATTGCTGTTAATCTCTTACTGTGCCTAATTTACAAATTTAACTTTTATCATAGGTGTGTATGTGCAAAGAAAAGTGCATTATATGTGTGGTTTGTACTATCTGTGTTTTTAGGCATCACGGGGGCTCTTGACATGTATCCTCTGTGGATAAGGTGGGACCTTGGTATTTGGATAACATTTTAATGTTTTTAAAGAATAGTTCTAGTCGTATGAATTCTTCTCAAAAGTCCTCAGTGGCTTCATTAAGCAGGAGATGTTAAATACAGGAGCCTTAATCTTTTATTCCAGGCCTTCACCTAGTCATAACACACCCTTTCTCTTTAACACATACTGGAGTGGTTACAACTTATTTCCCAAACGTACCTCCCATTTTCCTAACTCTGTGGCTCCCAGCTCCCAACACCTATGGTCTGGTTTCCATGACATTCTTTCTCATTATTTCCCTTTTACTTGTTTCCGAACATTTTCACAGCATGCCTTCTTTCCTTAGCTACTTATTTATTATTTTCAAAAAATGTTTTCATCAGAATGTAAGTTCCCTGAGGGCAGGAACATGTCTTAGTCACTCCTCAATTTCCAGTGCCCAAGTGGGTGTCAGATGTTGGGAGCAGGGTTTCAGGAAAGATTTGTTAATGGAATGAATATGATGTCACTGTTAAGACTATTTTAGCTTTGCAGAGTGGCGTCAAAATTCAAGCTAGAAAATGCCTAGCTGTATGCAGTCTCCTTCATTTCTCAGAACAGCAAATTAAGTCCAGGGGTGAGTGTCAGTCACATGGAAGAAGACACCTGCACCTGCACGCGCACCTGTACCTTGATGGCTGGGAAGTAAGGTGACTGTGGTCAGGGCACTGGGATGGGCACAGGGTCCCTGCCCAGTGTGTGTGTGTGGTGGGGTGAGCTGTCTGATCTCTATGGGTCAACTGGATGAATACATATAAAATAAGAATTTCACACTTTCCTGACAAGAGGCCATGAGGTTTGGTTAGCTTCTCAGAACTCCATTTGTCTTGGTCTTCATCTAACTGCTGAAAACTTAGTTTGCTCTCATAATAGTATAAACAAACACACTGGGAGCAGGGGACTCAGTTTTATTCAACCCTTTAGCAAAACCTAAAAACAAAACAATCCCCATGCCTAAGTGCTCCTCAAACCTCATAATTACAGGAAGGAAAATATGTCTCTGGAAATTGTATTTGTTCAATAGTGGGCAAAGAAACATTTTATGCAACAAGGGCCTTAGATAAGGGGAGCCTATCATAGCAACTCAGCATGACTGGATCAAGTGTAGCTGGCACGGAGAGGCAATGGGTTTTCTTATCAGATCTGTGGAAGCACTATTTATTAATCCAAGGAGTCAATGCTAACTAGAGGGGCTTTGTATTAGAGGCCGGGCACATCATGCTTCTGGAGCACTTCTATTGTCTTTGGATACTCTGTCCTCAGTGCTTTTCAAACATAAATTGAGAGTGTGTGTGCACACATGGGTGCATGTTCGGTGGGTAAACTGTTTAATTCAAATGGGTATTTAATAATATTTATAATTTGTGCCAGTTGTGGTGGCATAGGCCTGTAATCCTAGCAGCTTGGGAGGCTGAGGCAGGAGGATTACAAATTCAAAGCCAGGCTCAGCAATGGTGAAGTGCTCAGCAACTCAGTGAGACTCTGTCTCTAAATAAAATACAAAATAGGGCTGGGGAGGTGGCTCAGTGGTCGAATGCCCTTGAATTCAAACCCCAGTATCCACCTCCCAAATTATAATTTGAAATTTGATACCTATAAATGGTGCCCTAAAAATGTCAGATGAACAACAATTTTTTAATTATTATTATTTTATTTATTATTTTATTATTTTTTTAAAATATAAATTGCCCTTCCATTACTATGTTGTCTGTATCTGACCCTCCCCTGTTTCTTATCTTCCTCTCCCTTCTAATCCCCCTCCAATTTTTTTTTTTTAACAGAGCAAGAGTCTTGTCTCTCAGATGTCAGAACAGTAATCTATTTTGAAAATCTCAGAATTTCAAGTCTTCTGTCATTAAACATGACAGATGGATTTAGGGAAAAGGAAAGCATTGTCTGTAGTGTGACCTAAATGTACACTAGTGCAATGTTTAGACCCAGAAGGTTGAAACTGGATTTGAACATATTTTCAGAGTGCAGTGGCATTTAGTATTTTTTAGAGAGACAGAGAAAAAAAAAAAAAAGAGAGACAGGGAGAGAGATGATGCATAAGTTATCAAAAAGGGTGCATCGGGGGTAAGAATTTTGTTTTATTTTAGCCAAAAAGAGTAAAATCATCATGGTGGGGTTAAGATGCAGGTCTGACCTGGGTTTGGAAGCTTCGTGGGGAAAGGCCTTTAGGCTGGCGTTTGGGACAGCGTGTTCTTTAAAAAGAAAGCTGTCTATTTTTCTTTTCTCCAGGGGAGCTGCAGTTTAGGGCAGGCACAAAGCTGGGAACATAACCAAGGGCAGAAAAAAATTCACCCCTATGTTCTATTTGTCAGACTGACCTGCAGGTCACAACCTGAAAGTTTATAGATCGGGGAGGCCTTGTCTCTGCATAAGCATGTTTTCTGGACTTTGGCTGAAGCTAAATTCCTGACTTCTGAAAGAGGGGTGGGTGTGGACTTCCAGCAGGAATAGCCAGTGGGAAGGAAGTAATATTCATTAAGAGTGTCTCATGCAAGCCGTGCAGGCTAAGCATGCTCAGTGTAAATTCTCCTGGAGTCTGTCAAGCTATGTTTGAACTCGTTCCAGGATGCTGGATTTACTTTTTTTTTTTTTTCCACCAGGAAGAATGCTCGATTAGACAGCATTTTGCCTTGCTTTTCTTCTCTCTCTCTCTCTCTCTCTCTCTCTCTTTCTTTCTTTCTGACTTCTTTCCACCAGAAGATTGGAAACAATATTCTTTTCTGATCAATTCAGTAATACAGTGCCCTTCAGTGTTCAGATGGGCATTTCAGTGGAGAAGAAAAGAAACTTTGCTACCTGGGAACCGAAGACTACTTAGGTCAGTAAATGCTAATAAAGTCCTGAAAAACTTATGGAGCCAGGATTTAACTTTTCTTAATGGTTACGGTAATCTACAGCAAATTTAATTGCCTTTTCAACTCATGGGTGTGCACCAATTTTTTTTTTCACACAAAAACTATGTTTTTCATATGTTGGAGTGATTTTTAAAACACAGGGAAAATATGTCTTTTGGGCTAATTTGCATTTGAAAGAACCTCTCTTTATATGAGAGCTTTTCTCTCTCTTTACCACAAATTATGTGTTTTTTAAACAAATATTGTGGTGAGCTCTTGTAGCTATAATGGTCTGAATGTAGATGTGCTCTGTGTTATATTAATTCTTGGCTTGCGTTGGTTCGGTGAAAGTTATTGCTTTTGTTGCTGCCAAAGATGAAAGGGACTTTGTTTTTTTGTTGCTGTTGTTTTTGGAACTTTTAGTGGGCTTCGAGGAGGCTGCTTCAGGAGCCCCTTGTGAGCAGAGAGTCGCCTCTTTCCCTGTTTAATGTGTATTTTGCATGTGTAGGATTCAGCTTTTTCAGAACCTGTGTAGGAATGGAGTTTTTTTTTTTTTTTTTTTTTTTTTTTTTTTTTTAACTGTAGTTTTGGAGGGAAATGGCATAGAGAAAGATAGAAACAAGGTTTGTGATGAAGAGTTTAAATCAGGATTCTCATGGTGAATACAAGCAAAGAATGCAAAACATACTCTGCTGGCTGTACATGCACGGATGTAGTTGAGGTTAATAATTTTAATATTTAATTTTCTTGTAAAGTAGAGTAGATTTACTCCATCAGCTGATAACACACAACATTTATTAAAGAGATGTGAGGCTCCCGGGACAAGCAAGTTTGCAAAGGCGGCCCCTTTAAAAACATCTGAGGACAGAGGTTATGAAACCACATAGCTTCCCGTAGGAACAGTGCATCCTGGGCTGAAGCAGTTTAATTTTATTCAAGAATTTTAAGAGTAAAAGGGGATTTATTTCTTTTCAAAAAAAAAAAAAGCACAGCTAGGCGAGGATTATTGATCAGTCAGGGATTAAATATTTGCTGGAATACAAAGCATCACATTTTATCAATGTGTAAATCAGACTGGCCGGCTATTCAGGGGATGTAAATGAAAACCCCCCAGTTTTACATAAAATCAAATGCAGCAGCACCCCTGCCCCGCACTCACTCGCCTTCTCTGTGGCCCAGAAAGGGGTGAAAGAGGTGGGGCAGGGTGTGAAATAAGACTTAGCGAAGGAGCTGACCTTGCTCTTTTAACTTGTGTCCATCTGTTCTTACTGGGCAGCTGAAGCGGGGAGCAAAGCGGGAAGGGACCTCAGGGGAGCCACGGGAGAAGAGGCCAGACCCAGCCAGGCTGTGACCTGCTCCCCATCCTGTGATTTAGCTAGAAGGAGAGAGGCCAAGGGGATGCATCTCAATCCACTTCCTCCTGCTCCCAGGGCTTTGATGGAGTCCCAAATGCTACTCTGCTGCACCTGCCTCTGCTTTTCATAAATGAAAGTGTCTCCCCACAAGTGGACGCTGGGTTATTTGATGTAGATCAGTCCCTGAAGGGAGGGCCCAGGTAATTCAGTCTTGTTTCATTTGGGTCTTTTCTTCCCTAACATGGGACACAGATCTTGATGAGTTTAACTGAAACAATGAGCCCTTTGTGGGAGGGGAGAGCACAGTTGTCCACGAAGGTGTGTGCGAGTTTGCGTGTTTCTGTGTGTGTATGTCCACGAGTGTGTGTGCCACTCATAGTGTGGGCTCTGAGGGAAGGCATTGGTGTCTGAGGGCATTTGTCTGGGCTCAGGGATCTTTTTAATCACCTTGGCTCTGCACTGATAGGAGGTTCACATTTTGGAGAATTCCAGAGCTAGTTTTCTCTGACTGCCTGTTCCTGTGCCCTGCTCCCCCCAGCTCTGTTTCCCCTTCATGACTTGTCTCTCAAAGAACAGCAGTGAAACCTTTTGAGGTACAAAGGCTATGCAAGGGGGCAGAGTATGAACAAAGACAGGCCTATTCATGTTCACATCTGGATAAAGTTTAGATTGTGACAAGGGAAAATGATGGGAGAGAAAAAGTTGTGATGTCACATTTTTTAAAAATGCATGTACTTGCCCCCCTAGAGGGCTTTCTCCCTGTTTCCATATCCTGTGCCCACTGGACTGTGGGAAGACAGGTTTTATATCTTTAATTATTATAGCAAAGGCCAGTGGTTTGCTCCAAGTGGTGGCCAAGTTAAAACAAATCCTCAGATTCTTCAGGCTCTAGTCCAGATCTCCACCTACCCAGGAATGGGGATAAGCTGGGGTCAGTTTCTGAGTCCTGGACTCAGTTTTCTCATTCACTTTGAGGTTTTGAGCAAAGGCAGTGGATTTGTACAAAACACTTCCTCAGACTGAGCCTGCTGCGGTCTTATATCTTACATTTGAGAGGTACTTGAAACTGTTCAGGGGACACTCTCTCCTCTTTCCATTTTTTTTATCTTCAACACCATCCATTAAAGCAGGTTGGGCCAGTGTTGACATCTTCCTCTGACAAATGACGAAACTGAAAGATTGAATGACTTGTTGGATCAGGTCAGGCAGAGGCTAGATAGGAATTCAAGTTGCTCAACTCAAGATATGAAATTCTACACCAACCTGAGACTCTGGGCCACTAAAGTTGAACATCAAAAGAGTCCCACAGTTCATGGAGGTGAAAGGTATGGCTGAACAGGGCTTTAGATTGGGTCAGTCCCTTTATAAAGAAGAAAAAGCAGACTGGAGAAACTGGGTACTCCACTCACAGTTGCACTTGGGGCCTTGGGAGCTGGCCTTGAATCCTGTCTCTGCAGATCCAAAGTGTGTGCACTAATGCTGTGACTAGGCACATGGGCTTCGCTGTGCCTGACTGCATCTCTACTTCTGAGGATGCCACAGGGTTGCCCTGAGGATCATCCAAGATGAAGTGTGTGCTAGAAGTTTGATTGGTGAAGGTTCTTATTGTTGGTTGTGTGACATCACATAAAGTAAAGCATGTTATTTTTACTGTGAATCCCCATCAGCTTGGGGGCTCAACCCTTAGATCCTCAGGGTGTTTGTGTTGGTGAGTTCATAGGATCAGGTGAGTAGCACTTAGGGGATGTTTATTGAAAACAGAAACACTGTTCTAAATAATGCAGGAAGTTGACTAAGATAAGCGTCATAGCCCCCTTGCTCTAGTTCAGGGAGAAGCGGGAGGGAGGTTATCTGGGCAGATGCGTCTGAGATAAACAGTACTGTTGAGGTCAATTTCATTATCTTTGATGACCTTCAAATGCTACTGAGATTGCTTATTGGATGTCAGGAATCTCTATGCAGGGAAGGGTGAGCAGTTGGAGGTTATATTGAGCTCACAGATCTGGTAGGGACTGAAAATCAAGAGAAGGCACATGTGCAGATGGCCTGTAGAACTTCAAGATTGTGTCTTTCTTAGACACTTATGACCAGTGTTGACTAGGCTGCTGAGGTCACAGGTGTGTCAGCTCTGAAGCTCCTGGGTTTACCCATGGAGTAACATTAGAAAGATCCCTTTGAGAGAGAAAGGTCAAGGGCCTGCTTTAGAGCAAATCAGTGAGTTGTAGTTGTGTACTTACAGCGTCCTGAGAACTATAAGAACATAGTCACGAGACTGCAAAAACAAATGAAGGAAAGGGACACTTACCTGGGAATACGTGCTTTTAGCCAGGTGTGGTGGTGCACAAGCCCATAATTCCAGGGGCATGGGAGGCTGAGGCAGGAGGATTTCGAGTTCAAAGCCAGCCTCAGCAAGTTAGGCCCTAAGTAACAGTGAGACCCTGTCTTGAAATAAATAAATATAAAAAGGGCTAGGGATATGGCTCAGTGGTTAGGCATTCCTGGGTTCAATCCTTGGCCCCAAACCAAACCAAACCAATCAACCAACCAACCAAGCAAACAAACAAACAAACAAACAAACAAAAAACCCACATTGTGCGTCTAGATGAATAAATGGTATTCATGAGTGTGTGGAACACAGAAATGAGGGCGGACAGAACAAGTCTGCTCACGCAGAAGTGGGAGGTAGATTTCAGGGACAGCAGCTGGTTATTAAGTGTCTTACTTAAAAATTCTTAAGTTACCTCTTAGTTCAGAGTCCTCTTTCAGATGCTTCTCCATGGCCTTCATGCCCTTGTTCATGCTGGGAAAGGAAGGCCAGGCCAGGGACAGGGAGGAGGAGCTGTGTGTTGATTTACTGAACATTTACTACATATCAGGTATTAGCTCTATGATATTGCTTACTGTAGGAAAACCACTCCACTTGAATAGCAAGCCCAAGTTGGAACCTTTGAGCACTGTGGCGGGGAATGTCAAATGGAGCAGCTGCTCTGAAAAACAATACGGTGGTTCCTCAAAAATAAAAAATAAAATACAATCTAGAAATTTCACGTCTAGCTTATGTAAATATAAGTTTTTACTTTTCATTCTTTCTGTTTTCATTTTGCATAAAGGTCCTTAAAAGTTTTGCATTTTCAGAACACAGAACCTTGATAACTGTTAGGTAGTATCATGTAGTGAAAGTTGGATTTAGGGTAAAATCACTGGAATGGTAGACTGGACTAACATAATGATTTGAATACATTATTTTGCTTCACTGTGCCTGTTTCCATATTTGAAGTTGTCGATCACAATTTGCTCAGGTGGCATGATCAGATCTGCTATTCAACACTTTACCTGTGGTCAACAGTACCGTTTTGTACAGTTAAAAATTTAAAAAATTATTAAAAGAGAAGAGCCCATGTTTAATTTTCTCACCACAAGAAAATAAAATTAATGAAGTGTATATGTGTATATATATATATATATATATATATATATACACACGCTGGGTATTGAACCCAGGGCCTTGTGCATACAAGGCAAGCACTCTATCAACTGAGCTATATCCACAGCCCTCAAATATAGCTATTTTTAATAATTAATCCTGTTCTATAAATGTGAATTTTCACTTTTATTCTTCTGGTTTTCTT